GGCTCAGTCAGTTAAGCGTCTGACTCTTGATTTGGGCTCGGGTCATGATCTTAGGGTCATGAGATCAAGCCCCATACTGGGCTCCGTGCTCAGCAGAGAGTCTGCTTGAAGATTCTCTCTCCCTCTCTCCATCTACCCCTGCCCCCCTCATGCTCTCTCTCTCTCCCTAAAATAAATAAATAAATCTTTAAAAAAATTATATCTCTGTGACATATCCCAGTCCCAGTCATGCACACAAGCATCCAACAAGTGTTGGTTTCATAAGGAATTGAATGAATGGATGAATAAATTAATGAAAAACTGACTACACACAAGTTCAGACTGAAAAATCATGGGGACCTTTAAATGTCTAATATCTAGTAAGAAGAGTCTCAAAAGACTATTTATTACCAAAATCATATCATCATCATAGGCTAGGACCAAACAATATTGCTTTTAACAAAAGGATAAACAATTTAAACCTCCCTCTAAACTAAATTTGTGAGAAGGCATTTAGTGATCTATAAATTATATATATATATATATATATATATGCGCTATGGAAAGGACTTTTGAATCCTTATTATGGATTTCTTGGGAAGCCTAACAAAAGAAAGGAAAGCTTTTTCCCTCTGACACTGAGGTAAGGTGTTGTGTGTGAGAGAGGGGTGAGGGGGAGGTGGGTGAAAGAGGAGAGAGACAGAGAGACTATGCATATGTATTTTCTTCTTGCGCATATAATCTTGATAAATTGATACTTACTAAAATCCAAATTTGTGGATAATCTTAAACAAAACAAACCATACTTTGTATTTGTTCCAAAGTAATAAGAAAAACATCTGCAGTTTTATTATTCTAAAAGGTAAACAGTATCTTCAAAACATCTCTCTTATTAATCATTAGAGGTAATTAAATTCCCATAATGATACTCCACTACTTATATTGTTCTAGCTAAAGATGGATCATAAAATAAATACGATTTACATTGTAGAATAATAGGGTTGACCATCGAGTATAACAAGCAGCAGGTTAATGAAAAAGGGCATGGATGTCACCCCTTTGCAAGACCATTAGAATTGCTTTTTTGATGTTTTGAAGCTGCTATTCCCTGAGCTATCATCAGACCATATCTGCATGTACCAAACTCATTTATTTCCTCCCAGCACTAATTTCTCACCTCTTCCTCTCCTCCTCTTGCTCTTTCTGTCTCTCTATTTTTTTCTTTCTTTCATTTATCACTTATTCTCTTTAGAAACTGGGTATGTTTTTAGACCTAGAACTTACAACAAGAAATAAGACAGTCTTTGTTTTCAATATGCTCAGAGTCTAGCTAAAGAGAAATACGGTAAACAATCATTACAATTGAATTTAATAAATGCTCAGATAGTGCTATATACAGAGGAGGAAACACCCAGTTGATTCAAAGACAGGATCAAGAAGGCATCACAAAGGGAATTCCCCTTGAAGTTTGACTTAATAAGAAGAGCAAATGCTTCTCTAGATATTTCATTACTATCTTCCTAGTTTGTGTTACGGGGACCATAATAAATATATGCCAAATGATTAAGTAAATTAATTTTCTAGTTAGAGAATATGATAAAAGGTATTCCAAGGTGATGGAGAAACATGTCTAAAAGCAAAGAAGCAAAGAGAATCTGGTAAGTGCATAATGAGCCAAAAATGACAAAGAAAATGAAAATATTTGATTTTTTAGAATGATGGGATTATAAGTAATTTTCCTGTGGGTTATTTTTAAATGAAAGCTGTTTTACATCATTTGTAGGAGCAAAATATTTTGCTTATTTTTTTTTAATCTTAGCTGTTTAAGAATTCTATATTCTACTTTTTTCTCTCAGTTTGTATATCAAAAATATTTTCTAGGTTGCTACAAAGTCTTCATAATTATTTCATAAATGGATGTATAATATCAGAATTCCCTCATCACTTACCTAACCATTAATCTTGCTTTTTTAGTAATACAATTAAATCATAGTAAATGCCATCATCAGTATCTTTCCATTCTAAGGGCGGGGAAAGGAGAAGCAGTATGTGTGTAGTTCGGTGTGGGTTGCATTTACACAGTCTGCAGGAAGCCTTGTCTGGTTTGCATCCTCCAGATTTCCTGTAAAGCTACCAAGTGCTATGAAAAGCTCTGCAAAGAAGATATTATGTACCTGAATCATGTTCTCAACCCAAATCATATTTGGGTGGAGATTTCTCCAGCTGGGGATAATAGTAGACATCATAATAACCATTGAAATCAATGACCTAAAGAATCAAGTGACACTGGGCGTTTCCTCGCTCGGTGCCTCAGAAAGTGCAGAAGAGAAGGGCTCAGAGAGATGCACTGGGCAGCTCTGCTCCGGGCACCTTCCTCAGCTTGGCCTCCCCAGGAGTGTAACTAGCATAGCTGGAGGTACATGGATGACGGGAAGCCCCAAAAGACTTAGAGGCCGGGATGGTTAATTTTCTATGTCCTCCTGACTGGCCGAAGCCTGGACTGAACATTGTTCTGGGTGTGTCTGTGGGGGTGTTTCTTCAAGAGATTAGCATTTGAATCGGGAACTCAATGAAGTAAATTGCCCTCTCCAAAGTGCAGGGAAAATACCCAGAGCTCTGAGGGTATGAATAGGAGGGAGGAAGGGAGATTTCACCCCTTTTCCCTTCTTCACTCCTTGAGCTGGGACATCTCATCTTTTCCTGTGCTGTGACTGAGCTTTACACCGTTGACCCTCCTGGTTCTCAGGCCTTTGGATTCAGACTGAATTTCATAACCACCTTTCCTGGGCTTCCAGTTTGCAGATGGCGATCTTGAGACTTAGTCTCCTCCATCATTCTGTGAGTCAATTCCTCATAATAAGTCTCTCTCTTTATCTAGATCTATACCTATATCTACATTTAGATCTACATCTACAGGATTGGTATAGAGATGGAGATAGAGATATGGTTCAGCTATAGGTACTGGCCTAGGGTAGATGTAGTTATAGGTGTAGGTATAGGTATCTTCTATTGGGTCTGTTTCCCTGGAGAACCCTGGCTAATTCAGAGGTTTAGAGGGAAGATGGTGATCTTGGAGCAAGAATGGGGTGGGGGTAAACAAAAACTCTGGTGGGCCCATGAGAGGTTCTAGAAAATGCACGTGCAATGAGGAAATACTGAAGACCAAACAGCAGAAATTCAGTCCAATCAGATGCAGAGCTAAAACAGAGAGAACAGAAGGAGCCCAGAGCACTGATGGGGCAGAGGTTAAGGGCAAAGGGCAGGTTCAGAAGGAAGAGCAAAGGGGTTAAGATGAAGGCTCAGTGAAATTATAAGGGGTCTAGTACGAATTGGTTGCTCTAGTCACTAGAGGTACAAAAGAGTTGTTTTGTTTGTCGTTTTTTTAGTGACATAATATAGGATAATAAAGCTGATTACAAATAAAATCCGGTACAGTGTCCCAGAACATGTGAGTTGAAAGTCACGTCTAATAATATTTGGTTCTTTTTTTTTTTTAAAGATTTTATTTATTTATTTGACACACAGAGAGCAAGAGAGAGAGAGAGAGAGACAGCGGGAGAGGGAATACAAGCAGGGGGAGTGGGAGAGGGAGAAGCAGGCTTCCCACTGAGCAGGTAGCCTGATGCAGGGCTCCATACTGGGACCCTGGGATCATGACCTGAGCCGAAGGCAGACGCTTAATGACTGAGCCACCCAGGCACCCCAATATTTTGATTCTTGACCAAAGTTGTGAGCTGGGCAAAGGACTGTAGGTAGGTGAGAGAATTGAGTGCTATTCTCCATTTATAAAATGGCCCAAGTGTGTCACAATAATTTACTTTGACATCTCTTTTATTGTGGTTTTTAGAATGGGGGCCACTTCCTCCAGAAATCCTCTTGTCTCCTCTGATGGGCATTTCTCATATTTTCCCATCACATCCCATACTTCAATTATAATAGCAATTATCACATTGTAGTAGACTTACCTGTTTGTACTGGGTCATCTTTTTGTGGGTGTATTAGTTTCCCAGGGCTGTTGTAACAAAGTACCACAAGTTGGGTGGCTTATAACAACAAAACAACAGAAATTTATTATCTCACAGCTCTGGAGGCTGGAAGTCTAAAATCATGGTGTCAACAGGGCCATGCCGTCTCTGAAACCTACAGGGGAGATTCTTTCCTTGTTACCTCTAGCTTCTGGTGTTTGCCAGAAATCCTCCTCATTCCTTGGCTTGGAGGTGCACCACTTTAATCTCTTCCTCTGTCATCACGTGACCATCTCTTCCTCCTCCTATAAGGACACCAGTCATGTTGCATTAAGGGCCCACCCTACTCCAGTATCTTAACTATTTACACCTGCAATGATTCTATTTCTAAGTAAGTTTGCATTCTGAGATGCTGGGATTTCAATGCTCTTTCTTTGGGGGGGTGGGCACCATTCAACCCATTCCAGTGGGCAAGGATTGTGTCTATTTCAGCTTTTACCTTTGGATGCCTTAGCAATTATCCACTGCCAAGCACATAGAACATGCTCAACAAAAAACTGATGAAGGAATAAATGTATGAATAAGGGAATGAGTTTGTACTAAGAAATTACTTCCCATTCTTGGATAAAAGAAACTCATGTAGAGAGGGTAGAGGGTAAAGCTAAGGAACTCTAAGGCCCTCCCACTCCACAGTTCTGTGGTTATTTAGTCTCAATACTGGTTTGGCTTCAATTATTTAGAAAAGGTGTGTGAATAGTTACCTGCCTATGGATTACATCTCTGTAAACCCAAAACAGACAAGATGTATGTAAGTATAAAGAAATTCTTAGCATATTGAATTGTATGCTCATTGTTTGGAGTTTTAGGGGATTTAAAGGTCTTTGCTCTTTTATCTTAAGTTAACTTGGTTTTAAGGTTATTTCGGAGAGGGACCAAAATCGGTTTGAGTTATAAGACTGACATCTTCTGGCTAACTCTGAGTAGTGCAGAAAGGTTGAAGCATCAGAAGGAAATGAATGGTCTTTCTGGGTTTAACTGTTGAACACTGGTAACAAAAAGAAAAAAGAAATATATATGGAAATAACAGAAAGCTATTCACAGATAGACAGATCCATTCTTTTTATAAAGAGAGAGTGAGCATATAGCCTAAAAGATATTTGGTGGAGTTTACCGGAATTGATTTTGGCCTTGAAGAAAGTGGGCAAGATAAAACATAAATGAACAGACCATCCAGGAAATGAGCACGAGGAAATACATTGATCGTAAATGTTCTTGATGAAAGATTAATGCTCCGAGTTCTTACAAGAGATGTGGGAGAGAGGTTATTGGATACTTTGACAATCAGACTATAGTTTTTGCTGTGGTCCAGAGGCAGAGTTAAGGTTAGATTCGAGAGGTCTGGGTAGGAGTTCCCATTTGTACCTTCTGGACCATTTATGATTGCCATGCCTTGCCCCAACATCAGGAACACCACCAGGATAACTATCCATTCCTTTATGAGAAAATGTGCTGTTGACATCCTTTCTGACCTAACTTTTCCTTCATTTATTGTTCTCCATGTCTCCAAATGGTTCCATTTTTCCTTTTATGATGATGCAGTGCAGAGCGCATTTCAGAGCACAGATGTGTGCTGGTGCCCCCGATGCCTCCCTGATAGCCGGATCATTCCTTGCTACTATCCACCCTGAAAGGACAGGAAGAGAGGGAGAAAACAAGTGAAATTAATCAATTAAGCTACTGAGAGTTGCTCATATGTTGGGGGTGAGAGAGTAGAAGGGCTACAAAGTGGTAAGCAGGATGGACGGGCCTTCTGCCCTCAGGGAGCAGCAAAGACGGATGCAAGCAAAGCAATGAAAAGAATGAACAATTTCATTATTGCGGTAAGCGCTACCAAGGACATACAGGATGCTAGGAGAGTGTATAACAGGGAGTTCTGATCTAATATGAGAGGAAGGAAATGTTTTCCAGACAGAACATTTAGGCTGATATATAAAGAATAAATGTTCTTTAGCTAAAGAAAAGGATCCAGAGGCAGCATTGCAAACAGAGACAAAAGCATGTATTTATGTCTCTTAGGCAAGAATAGCGCGTAATAAAAATCTTCTCCTAGCCCTTTCTGTGTGCCAGACACAAATAGACACTTTCACATGTCACATTTGATCTCCATAATAACGAAACTGTCAAGTGAGTGCCATCATTGCATCCATTTTACAGATGAGGAAACTGAGGCACAGATATATCACAAAACTTGTCTAAGATCACGGAGCTAGGAAGTGGCCACATGAGGACTGAAACCTAGGCAGTCCAGCTCCAGAATCTGGGAGCATAAAGAGTGGAAGAAGGTTGGAGTAGCTGGACCTTGGGAAAGAAGGCAGAGAGAGGAACTTGAAGTTGGAGAGGTAGGCTGCGAGCTGACCCTGTTAGGCCTGTGGCCGTATTGAAGAATTTGCTTTCTATCCTTCTAGTAATTAAGCATTGTTGACAGACACCCAGCAGGGAAGGGGCAAGGAGAACTTTGTCTTTTACACATGTCAGTCTGGACACAGTATAGACAGAGACCATGGCTGGTCTCCTGTGAGATCCACAGGAGGAAAATACCCTTGCTAAATTACCTCCATGTTTGCTGCCTTCTCTAACAGCGGCATTGCTGTTTAACAGTCCACGCTACACCATGAGAGAACAAAGCAAACCGTTCTCACACATTCCTGACAAGGCAAAGGTTATACAGAGCTATTCATGCAAAAGATACTGAATATTAGATACGGAGGAAACAAGAAATACGTCATTTGCATGTCCATAGCCTCAGAGAAAAATAAAATATTGACAATATAATGTAATAACACAGTAGGGTCACACTACACAATATATATGTTTTGGTTTTTTTTAAATTTTATTTATTTATTTGACAGAGAGACACAGTCAGAGAGGGAACACAAGCAGGGGGAGTGGGAGAGGGAGAAGCAGGCTTCCCACGGAGCAGGGAGCCCGATGTGGGGCTCGATCCCAGGACCCTGGGATCATGACCTGAGCCGAAGGCAGACGCTTAACGACTGAGCCACTCAGGCGCCCCTACACAATATATATGAATAAGAAAACAATTATTCATGATTATATATAGTTTCCTGATAATTCATTTCTGCATATGTAATGCAAACCATTTTAGAGGAAAGTTGCAAGGAAAGATGAGTGTGGTGATATACAGGGACGCTTAACAAACTTGACAATTTTGAACTTCATTTTCTCAGTCTCTCAATTTGATTGCATATTGCAAGTGACATTACCTGTACACAAACCTTTTTTAAAAAATTAGAAACAGTGGAATCTCTGTATCTCTTGAACTATCACCTAATGGAAGGTTTGGTCATGCACAGTTACTTTAGCGGAAACGTGAGTTTCTTCAAGGCAGATACCATGCCTGGGGTGCCTGGGTGGCTCAGTCATTTAAGCGTCTAACTCTTGATTTTGGCTCAGGTCATGATCACAGGTTGTGGGATCGAGCCCTGCACTGGGCTCTGCACTGGGTGTTGAGCCTGCTTGGGATTCTCTCTCCTTCTGCCTCTCCCCAGCTTGTACGCATGCTTTCTTTCTCTCTCTCTCTCAAATAAATAAATAAAATAAAAATATATATATATTTATGTTTAAAAAAAGCAGATACCATGCCATATAAGTCCTCCTTTCACTGTTTCTAACTTAATACTTTGCACGTGTAACCGAAGAAAATTAGTGTTGAATGAATGCATGGTGAATTAAGAAACGAATAAAGAATACTGCCAAATGACTGAAGCTGCAATTTTTTCTTTAGGTGTGCTGGCCTACTTCTACGTATTCAGCAAACGTAGCCTGAGCCTTGTTCTCCATCAGTTCACAACAAATGTAAACATCTGCTATACTTAACAACCTTTACATAGAGGCCTAGAGGAAGTAAAAACACAAACCTTGATGGAGAAGGAGGCCTGAATGATTTTCTGTTTGTTTTTTTAGAAGGCCTGAATGTTTTAGTGCAAAAGAGATCTGCAAGAATCAAATTATATTAAGGTTAAATTTAGTGGGGAGGAACCCTCTGTATAGCTGGGAGACTAAAGAAAACCAAGAGGATTACAGACCTGGCATCTTATATGTGGCCTTCACACCTAAGAAAGTATTTTAAAGAAGATATGTAAAACAGCCTTCAGTTCCTTTTGGACATATCGATGTTGAAAAATTTCTATTTTATAATTGTTATAATAAAGCATCGACTTGTTCTCCAATGTGTTAAAAAAACAACCTGCTGTTTAGGTCATTAAAATAACTTTTATTATGCATTGTTGCTAAGATGTTTTCTTCTTTTTTTTCTTTTTCTCCCTCACAATTTGAAGTGTTTCATTTTCTTTTTCATAGTTATACTGATTATTCACCTAAATTTTTCTTTCAGCATCTAGCATAAAGTCTCGTAAACAAGGTCATACAACATTAATAAAAAATAAAGAAGATTATTTGCTTATTACTCAGAAGGCCTTAGGCTCTTGTTCTGCACGCAGTTCATTTAGTAAGCAATCCAATAGTAGAAAAGTTCAGGCAGGGGTCGGGGCTGTGTCCCGTGAACAGAGAAAGAGCTCGCTGCCCCCAAGGCCATGCTCCACATGCTCGCGGTGCAGGCCCTCCCTGGGCAGATGACGGCCTGGGACAACCCAAACCGTCGCAACAGGAATTCTTCACTTCCTGGGTCCCCTGGACACACGAAGCTACACTCCCTGCCAACCATCCGTTCCCATGTTTGGTAAAATGGAAGAGAAATGATGTGCTGTGGAGGGAAGACAGTGCTGCAGTTATGGTTAGTCAATGGCCAGCCGTGTTTATGTCCAGTGACATGTAAAATGAGCAGGCTGTGGCTCCTTTTAATGTCAGATTGACTGGGCTACAGGGATGCCCAGAGAGTTGAAAAAAACATAATTACTGGGTATGTCTTTCAGAAGAGATTGACATTTGAATTGGTAGACAGAGTAAAGAAGATCACCCTCATCAGTGTGGGTGGGCACCATGCAACCTATTGAGGGCGTAAATAGAACAAAAAGGTGGAAGAAAGGCAAATTTGGTCTCTGTTTAAGCTAGGAAGGACATCCATCTTCTGTCTTCCAACATTGCTGCTCCTGGGTCTCAGACCTTTGGTCTCAGATGGGTACTTATACCTTTGGCTCCCCTGGTTCTCGGCCTTTAGGTTTGGACTGGAACTACAGTATCAGCTTCCTTGGGCCTCTAGCTTGCAGAGAGCAGATCCTGAGAATTCTCAGCTTCCATAATCACGGGAGCTGATTTCTGTAGTACATTTCTTTCTGTATATCTCCTATTGATTCTCTTTCTCTGAAGAATCCTGACTAATACACAATTCTTTGCAAGCAGAGAACAGAAGTGGGGAGGACATGGGCAGGGGCTGCCTAAGAAGAGGAGATGCGAGAAAATATAAACCTACTGGTGAGATCTTTATAATGTAGAGGTATATCTCCTGCCATTTCTAAAATCATAATTAGGTATTCTATGCCTGTACCTATATTAAGCATGCTGCATACATAGCCTTTAAATTACACAGTAACTCTTAGGAAAAGAGGTGTCACAATTTCCTTTTAACATACGAAGCGGAGACTCAGTGTAAGCAGGTTAGTTGCCAAATAATGTTTCCGTTTGATTCTAAAGTCTATGATTTTCTCTCTACAAAGGGGATCTATGGAGCTCTAGGATGTTTTTTCTTCCCCCACCAGACTATCTGTTCACTCAGGGTGGGGGACCTAGTCTTTTTTGGTTACCATCATATTCCCAGTGTCTAGAACATTGTCTAGGTGCTTAAATTTTTTCTCACCACTTGATCGATGATGAGGACAAAATCATGAGTATTCCTCAGGAAAAATAAAAATGTCTCTAGTTGGATTGAAAATAATAATAATGAAAGCTTATAAGAATTTGTGCTGGATAATTTGTGATTGCCTCTCCACATCCACTTGGCCCTTAGAGATTGTCTTGAAGGATTACATCCAGGAGCCTCCCTTGCCATAGGGTTTTGGGTTGGTTTCAGCCAGTGGTCAGCACTGCTGAAAGATCAACAAGCTGGTGGAAGGAGGGCAGAGTAATTATCCCACGGGCTCCCTCCTTTGAGGTCATCTTCACTTGGCTGAATCTTTCCAGCTTGGGTCAAGCTTCTACAAGGGAATCCACTACAGATGTCCCAAATTTCAATAACTGCTTCCTCCCCATGTCTCTTCAGACCTGGTGGTGGAAATAGCTTCACAATGTTGTCATTCCCTGTTTTTATTTTTTACCCTGCCCACTTATTTATAAATAGTTCTTTTATCAAATTATCTTCAATTCTCTACATGAGTGTGGCATCCATTTTATGCCAGGAACCTGAATTATCCAGTAATGTTCATTCATCCACTTGACAAATATTTATTAAATTCCAATTATATGCCTGTTATATGTGTTTTTGGGGGGAGAGTAGTGGCTCTCAGAAACCTGATTGATCCATTCTATTTAGATAATATTGTTTCCCCTTTACCAACACTGCATCATCCAGGTAAACAAATATGCGTGGTTAAAGTTTTTTCTTCATCTTCATTGTGTGTGTGTGTGTGTGTGTCTGTTACTGGTTTTGTTATTTTTTTTTTTTGCATTCTGCTCAGCTATGGATAATTTTTTTTTTATGTGCTTTGTAACACT